CGACGCACGTCCTCGAGCACGCGCGCCACCACGTGTGCCGCGCGCAGTACAGCGCGCTCGCCGCCACCGCGGGGCACCGCGACGCGGGCGCGCTCCTCGACGCGCTGCTTGCGAGTGGGGCAGCCGCGTCCGTGCACAGGAAGGCGTTCGGCTGGGAGGCGCTCAAGGTGCAGCTGCTCAAGGACCTCGTCGTGCAGTGCGAGGCGATGCACGACTACGTCGCGATGGCCTACTTTGGCACGCTGCTTCTCCGCGACTACGCGTTGTCGCTCGCGCCTGCAGACCAGGAGATGGTGGTGGATGCGCTCCGCCGCGTCCTCCCGCGCGCGCGCCTCAGCGGCGCGCCGGACCTGCTCATGCGGTACTGGGGCCCCGCGGACTTGGTCACGTCGCTGGAGGCGTACCCGCTTTCGCCGTCGCAGCTGCCTGTGGTGCGCCCGCGTGCGGCGCTCGACCCGCCGCCGTTGGAGCCAGCGCTGCCCGGTGCGCCATGCGCGGGGGAGGCCCCCCTCGCGCCCGCCGGCGTGCACAACCCGTTCTTCTGGAACCCGGTGCGCGCGACCTCGCGCAAAAGCGACGTGCTGGAGCTCGTGGCGGACGAGCCGTTCATCGTCGCAGTCGTCCTGCGGAATCCGCTCGCGGTGGCGCTCACCGTCACACGCATCGCGCTCCACACGCGCGGCGCGCGTGTCGACGCGGATGCCGCCGAGTGCGTCGTGCCGCCAGAGTCGCTCCAGGTGCTCCACCTGCGCGCGACGCCGCGCGCGCCGGGCGCGGTTGCCATCGAGGGCGTGTCCGTGGCGCTGTGGGGTGCGGAGCCGCGTGTATTCGCGGTGCCCGTGGCGACGGACACGAAGCATCTCGGCGACGCAACGCAGGCAGCGGTGGCCGCGATGCTTCAGAAGGCGACGGGCCTCGGGGCGCGCCCGTCCGTGGACCTGGTCGTGCGGTGCGCGTCCATGCAGTTGGACGCGCCCGCTGCCGACCAGGTGGCCGCCGCGCTTGCGCCGCGGGCGCCCGCCACGTACCTGCAAGCAGCCGTGTTCCCCGCGCAGCCCCTTGTGGGCGCCGCGCTGCCGACGCTCGCGTTCCGCGCGCTTGCGCTGCGCCATGGCGAGGAGGTCGTGCTTCCGCTGCGGCTCTCGAACCGGTCATCGCTCCCCGTCCGCATGGTCCGCCTCGAGTTTAGCGACAGCCGGCAGGCGCCGATTCACGCGGCGATTGCCGATGGGAGCCTGCTTCCCGGTGATGTGCACGAGCTCGAGTGGCAGCTCCTGTGTAACCCGGTGCTCAGCGTTCCACACGCTGTGCAGGCCGCACTCGCGATTCCCGCGCACGCGTCGCGCACCGTGGATATTGTTGTGCGCGCACACCGCGAGTGCGAATGGTCGAATGTCCGTATTTGGTATGCGGGGGGGGAGGAAGAGGGGGGGGGAGAAGACGGGGGGGGAGAAGGGGCGGGGCAAAATGGAGGGGGGGAAGATGGAGACGGGCGGGACGGAGATGGGCGGGACGGAGAGGGGCAGGACGGAGAGGGGGTGGATGGAGAGGAAGGGGGAAAAGAGGGGGAGGAAAGCGTGTCCGAGCGTGGCGCGGCATCCTACCACCCGCCACCACACCGCCTTGGAAACCCACCCCCGGGCCCCTCCGCCTCTCTCCCGATGCGGTGGGTGTCCCTGGCGGTTCCGCTCTCCGTGGCGCCGAGCATCGAGTGCACGGCGCTCGCGGCGAGTGCGCTGGACGCCACGAGCGCGCAGGATATTGTCGCGCTTTTGCGCGGCGACGGCGCATCCGCCTCGCCCACTCCTCCGCTCCCGCGCGACATGTTTCTCCTTGTGCTGGACTTCTGGAATGCGGCGGACGTGCCACTCCGCCTGCACCTCGACGCAGATGCCGCGCCGGCGCTCCCACTGCGCGTCGTGCAGCGCATCCCGCCGGGATCCATGCGGCGTGTGCAGCTGCCAATGCGCCGGCGTCCGCGCGCGGCGAACGCGCCCATTCCCAAGCTATCGCCGCGACAGTTCGTCGTGCCTAAGACGCAGCTCTCGGGCGAGCATCTCGCACAGTGCACGGCGCAGTTCGCCGCGCGCGCATACCTGCTCGAGCACATACGCGCGACCTGGCGCGACGAGCTCACGCAGCAGTACGGGACCGTGTCGCTGCGCACGCTGTGGCCGTCCCCCGCCCAGATGCGCATGATCGACGCGCCAGCCGTGTCCGTGCACCTGCGCGTGGGGCGCGCTGCGCCCGCGGTGAGCGCGGAGGAAAACGTCGCGATCTGCGCGAGCATTACCAACCATACGGGTGCGTGGCGCGGCCGGGTGGCGACGCTGACGGGCAGACGATGCGGTGTGTCTGCGGTACCGCCTCGCGCTGGTTCCGCCGCCGTCAGTGATCTTCAGCAACGCGCACGACACGAGTGTGTACATGGGCGTTGTGGCGTCGCAAGTGCTCGTCGTCGACGGCGGCTGGACGGACCTCGTCGAGCCGGCGCCGCTGCGCCCGGGGGAGACGTCCGCGGAGATCACCAAGACACTCTGCTTTTTGTCCGACGGCGAGTACGCATTCACGGGCGCGGTCACGCTTCTGGACGGGGGCGTGGACGCGTCGGGCAAATGCCCTGTGCTCGGGGAGAGTGGCATGCTGCGGGTTTTCGTCGGGGGCGATGCCGCGCCAGATGCGCCGTGTTAGGGCGCCGTCTCATTGGCTGCGGTGCGTGCGCGGCGCGGCTCCTCGCGACAACACGGGCGGACCTATCACGTGTGTGTACAAGGGGAGGGGGTCGGGGGGGGAGTGGCTGCGGGCCAGGCGCCCTTTTCTGCGCCCCCTTTTGTGGGTGCCCCTTTCGGGGTCCTTCTTTCCCGGGTGTGTCCTGCCCTCATCACGTCGGCACGCATGAGCGAACGCCACACGCTCCAACACATGCACCGGGCGCTCGCCACGCACACGCCGCCGTTCGGAGAAGTACGGCAGGTGCGTCTGCACTCGGCACGCGCTGGTATCCGTGCGACGGGCCCATTCTCCGACGGCGTCCTCGCCAGCTGCGCCGCGCCCAGCGACGCGCGCGCGTGGCAGGCAACGAGCCCGGCCGTTCGCACGCCGCGTGTGCAGTGGACGCCCGCGGGCTCCCGGAAGCGCTCGTTCTGCAGTAGGAGCAGCTCGCTCTCGCAGTCCAGCTCGCCCACCCCGGCGGGCTGTCCCGCAAACAAGCGTGCGCGCGCGACGCCCAGTGCGGCCCGGCAGAGCGCATGCATATCCGCTGCACCGCGTGAGCTGCGGAGCCCGGCGTATGTACCGCAGATGCCCGTCCCGCGGCGCCGTCTGCACGTCCGGCGCCCGGAGCTCGTCGCTGTGCCGCGCAGCCCCTCGGCACTGTCCCCCCTTTTCCAGGAGATGTCGCTTTCCCGCTCGCGGCTGCATGGGCGGACGTCTCCGCGGACCCCCGGCGGCATGTGGATGGCGCACAGTAGTGGTGTGGACATGCCGACCTATCCGTGCACGCCGCCCGCGCCGCCCGCCATTTTTTTGTCGCCACCTGCGGCCGATGTGGAGTGCGCACTGGGCAAGTGCCAGGTTCCCGCCGTGAACGCGGCGCAGGGGCCGCTGGCGCCCGTGCGCCGCGAGTGGCAGTTTGCGTACGCCGGCACGATGCTGTCGCGAGACCAGATGGCGTTCGACAAGCTCGGATGGAAGCTGGACCTGGCCTTCGCCCGCCTCGCATGCCAGAACATGGACGAGAACGACGCACTTGCGCGCTACAGCCACCGCTCCTCCTCGCTCGCCAAGGCCACGGCGCGGCACGTCGTGGCTGTACTCACGAGTGCGTGGATCCCGCGGTCCACCCACGAATACACGTACAGCCCGCCCAGTTTCCGCCTCACGTCCGTCGCGCGCGAGATGCTGGAGCCCAGCCATGCGGCGGGCCCGCACGGCGCGCATGCGGCCTGGGCGCGGCGCATGTCAGCGGTGCTTGGCGCGGAGATGTGCGAGCGTGTCGTGTCCCACATGGTGCAGACGCTCTGGTACATGGTAACGACGTACGTCCCCGCACAACGCGTGCTCACGCCCCAGAGACGGCGGGCGCAGTTTCTCGCGTCCGCGCGTCGTCGCGCACTTCTGTGCACATTTTCTCCGCTTCATGGCACAGTGGGAGGCGCAGGAGCACACGAATGTGCGCCTCCTCCCGACGCAGCACCTGAACGTCGGAGCCGCGACCCATCTCCCCACATCAGCGTTAATCAAGCGGCTGTTTGCATGCGTGCTGGAGAAGCGGCTCAGCGTCCCCCCCGCCGCACCGACGCATGTGGCCGCGGACATGCGCCATCTGCAGGTTCCCGCGCTGCCCCGGGCTGTGCGCGCGCAGCGGCTTGCGCGTGACCCCGTGGGCGCGCCTGCGGCGCCGGACGCAGCCGTGTTCGTGTCGCTCCCTGTGGACGTGGCACGCCTGCTCGGCGAGCTCTTCCTTGTGGACACCATCGTGCATGAGGCCCTGCTTGTGCAGTGGCTCGAGCACCTCTTTCTCCAGCCGCGGCAGTGCGTGGACGTGCACGCGAACGAACTGGAAGCGGCGTGTGCGCTTCTCCTGCTTGCTGGTAGCCATGCGGCACAGCGGCAGACGGCCGCTGCGCATGCGCGGCCCTCACGCATGCAGGATGTCCTGCGTCGCTGCACCGCTCGGTTAGAGGACATAGTCGCGTCCCCGCTCGTCTCAGTATCCACCAAGGACTGGCTGTGGGTGTGTGCCAATAAAGGGCGAATTTGAGCTAATTTTCCCAGGACGTACTTTCCCACGGCCGCCGCGCGTGGATGTGAAGCGGTGCGGTGCGTACCGCATCCTAGAGGGGGCTCTTGGGCATTGTCGCTGCGTCGCGGCGACTCTGCTGCGTGCACGGACCCCGCCGCCCGCACGCTGTGTGTCCTCGCCGAAGCTTCCCACGTCGTCCGCGACTGTCTCCACCCCACCATATGTACGCACTACCATCCTCAACGCACAGCTGTTCTCCTAGTTAGTACAACGGTTAGTATATGTCGCTCTCACGCGTCCGTCTGTGAAGCGCCGACAAGACCCGGGTTCGACTCCCGGATTGGGAACATTTTTTTTCCGCGTCGCGGCCTCCACAACGGGGGGGGTTGGGCTCGGACTACGATGCTGCGCGGGGCGATGGACCGCGTGATGCGCCCGTACGGGGGCAGCATGCGCGGTGTTTTCAGTGTGGGGTTCGTGATGGGGCTCGTAGCGGGGCTGGGCGCGCTCGCATTTGCCAAGCTGCACTATGCACGACTCCTGCGCGCGGCGCGCAGCCGGCTGCCGTGGCGGTCAGCGGATGCATGGCAGGGCGACAGCGAGAAGCCTGTCGCATTTACGCCGGTCGAGCTGCGCCGCAGCGGGAAGGTCGTTGATGGTGTGGCGGGCATGATTGGTGCGTATGCGCAGCGGCCACGGGTCGGCAGCTTACGCGATGCACGCAGGGAATACGCCCCTTGTCCGCATCAACAGCCTTTCCGAGATCACCGGATGCGAGATTCTGGTGCGTGGCTGGTGCGATGTGTGCAGGGGTGCTCATACATGCGCAGGGGAAAGCAGAGGTATGTACGAGGCGCGCGCGCCACGGTCGACGTGCCCTCTCTTGTCATGGCTCGCATCTACACGGCCACTGGCCGTTGCGCCGCACCCTGTTGCCCCCCGCCCCACGCTCACCCACAGTTTCTGAACCCCGGAGGCAGTCCCAAGGACCGCGTCGCGCTCCAGAGTATGCGCACTGTGGCGCCATGCGCTTATCCCCAGTTATCACAGACGCAGAAGACAACGGCGAGCTGGTTCCGCACTCGGGTTCGTGGATATTCGAGGGGTCTGTGGGGTGCGCTATAAGGAAGCCTTTACCGCGGCTCACGCGTCAGATCGACGGGCATATCCCTCGCGATGCTTGCACACGCCAAGGGGTACAACTGCTGTATTGTGAGCCAGGACGGCGTCGCGCCGCGTGCTTACGAAAGGTTGTCCCCGATGATGTGGCCGCGGAGAAGGCCGAGCTACTCCACCGCCTTGGCGCTACGGTGGAGTCTGTGCGTCCACGAGGGATTGTGGATCCGCGGCATGTGTGTGGCGCAGCCTATCGGCCCCTGACGCGCAGTTCGTGAATGAGGCACGCGCGCGCGCACAAGCATGGACGCCGGACGCGAGCCAGCCGTATGCGCGCGCGTTTTTTGCGGACCAGGTGTGCCGCCGCGCCCACACCCCCTGACGAAAGTTCGAGACGGAGGCGAATTTCTGCGCGCACTACCGACACACGGGCCCGGAGATCTGGGAGCAGACGGTAGGGGATGTCGATGCGTTCGTCTCCGGGGCGGGCACCGGCGGGACGCTCGCGGGTGTTGCCGCGTTCCTGAAGACGACAGCGCGCGCGCAGGACAGCGCGGGGAAGCCGTATGTGGTGGTCGCGGATCCGCAGGGCTCCGGGCTGTACAACCGCGTGGAGTATGGCGTACTGTACAGCGCGGCGGAGGCGGAGGGCACGCGACGCCGACACCAGGTGGACTCCGTGGTGGAGGGCATCGGGATGAACCGACTCACCCGGAACGTGGAGCGGGGCCTCCCGTTCGTCGACGGCGCAGAGCGCGTGAGCGACGACGAGGCGGTGCGCATGTCGCGCTGGCTCGCGTCGCACGATGGACTCTTTCTCGGCTCGTCGTCTGCGGTGCACTGCGTCGCCGCTGTGCGCACGGCGCTGAAGCTAAAGAAAACGGTCGAGCGCCCGGTCGTGGTCACGATCCTGTACGTGGTGCACGCGCGGCGCTCACAGCAGTGCGGACTCGGGGACACGGCATCTGTCCAAGTTCCAGAGCGACGCCGTGATGGCGGAGCGTGGCCTGCGCACAGACGCGGACATTTCGGATATTCTGCAAGAGGACCGTCCGTAGGTGGCGGGGCGCAGTCGTGTGGCGGGGCGCAGCCGTGTGGCGGGGCACAGCCGTGGGGCGGCCGCTGTGCGGCGTGCGAAGCACACGGCAGGGTCACCCCTCATGCACGCACATAGATGAACAGTAAACCGTGTTGTCCTTCCGTGAAAGTAGCTACAATACATGTGTATTAATGTCCAAGCCCGTGCACCATCACCTGTTCCTGCATGTGCGCCTTTCTGAGGAGCAGCTCATGATGCTCTCGGAGACGGGCACCCAGAAAGTCCACCGCTGCGGTGAGCTGCGCGCGCGCGCACACGTGCCTTCGTTCAGGATCGCGATCTCGCTGAACGAGCCCGGGCGCCCCTCCTCGTCGACGGGCGCCGCCTCCGCCTGGAGCGCCGGGAGCGCGTCACTGAGCATCTCGTATCCCTTGCGGATATTTGCGCGTCGCTTCTGCTCAGAAGCAATGTGGTTCGCCTTCTTTTCCGCATCCGACAGGAGCCCCTGCGAGGACGACTTCCGCTTCGCGACCTTGTGCACCTCCGCCGCACCGTCGGCCGGTCGGTCCGGGTCTTCCCGCTCGTGCTTCTCCCTGCGGGCCCGGAGGACGTCCAGGTGCGGCTGTTGCCGCGTCGAGTGTGGCGCAAACAGTGCGAGCGCGTCGCTCGGCACGCGCTGGTACGCAAGACTCACATCGACGTGCGGCACCTGTGTGAGGTCCGACAGGTCCAGCGGCAGGTCGTCGTGCGCGTCGTAGTCCGCATCGCCCGCTGCGGCGGGCGCGGCTCCCGCCGCTGCTGGCACGACGGATGCCGGCGGCGGCGGCGCACCCACACTCTCTGCGCGCTGCTGCTCTGCGTGGAGAAATGACAGCTGCGCGGACCGCCAGTCCGGGTCTTTCCCGTACGTTGTCATGGGTGGCGGCTCCCCCCACGTTGTCCGGCTGGGCGGCCGCGGCGTGCCTGGCTGGGCATTGTTTTGGAGGACGCCATGCGCGGCGGTAACGAGGCCGTCGGACGCAAAGGGCACCTTTTGCAGCGGCAGCGTGCCGTCTCCGCGCGCCGGGGGTTCCCGCGCCATGTTCAAAAGCGGATTATCCGCGTCTACTTGGTCACTGTGCGCCGACCCGTGCATGTGCAGTTTCTCGAACGCATGCGGCACCGCCGTCGGAGGACATGCGGATCCCGACGCGCCCGCGGTCACCTTCGCGTCGTGTGTACCATTGCCGCCATGCTCATGCGACATCGTGTGTACACCTCGTCCGCGATCCGCGCACAGTGGACGTCTGACACGCCGTCTCCGCACCCGAGCGCCCGGGCTTTGTGGCTGACTAACTGGCACGTGGACGTGGGCGTAGGGATATTGCCTTTCGGGCAGCGCAAGAGACGGGTGCTTCGGCTCCGTGCACGTCCTCCAGACAACGCATGTGTCTGTGGCACGTCTATGACACATGTCTACGGCGCCTCCCAGCTGCTAGCATCCCGTCAGTTTTTCATTCTTCGGCCATTTCGCGCGGTCAAACTCTGTCAGGTTGTTGTTATAGTACAGCTCCGGATTGTCGTTAATGTACTTTGACGTCGGGTGGTCCCTGCGGGTGAGTGGGTGCGTGGGGTGATTCTCGTACGATGGATCACACGACACGCGGCTCTTTTGGCCATGCCGCTGGTACACGCGCTGGCGGTCAGTGGGCGGAAAAGGGAGGAGGCGGAAGGGAAACGGGGGAGGGGGCGGGGGGGAGAAGGGAGACCGGAGGGAGGGGAAGGATGGAAAAGGAAGCGAGAGCAGGGGAGAGGAAAAGAAAAGGCGCCGGGCAGGGGGCTGCGCGCAGAAGAGGGCCCACATCTGCCATCCCCCCATACTCACCACATAATCAAAGGTCATCTGCGCGGGGAACGTGACGCCACCCTTGTCGAAATCTCCGCGTAAGCCCGACCACAGACACATACGCACCGACGTTTTGGAAACCGGAAGAGATCTGCACTGTGAGCTTGCACAACCGTCCAACGCACACCGAGGTTCATAATGATGGACATGGGCTCTGTGGAAATGACGCGCTGGCCAATGTCGGCTTTCGTATCGGGCCCAAACGCTGACCCATACACGGTCCACGACGGCTTGCCGTCGACAAAAAAGGTGATGTGGCCGCTGCCATCGCCATTCCAGTCGGGGTCGTACTCCAGACCAAATACGCAGGGCTTGTTCTCTGTCTCCATGAACGCCGATTCTGGGACACGCGTCACCGAGGAGACCGCCTCCTGAAGGGGGCCGCCGCGCCATGTATTCTGTTTCGTCACGTCCTTGTCGTAGATTTTGAAGGAGGAATCATTTTGGCCCCACATGTAGTTGTGGTCGAAGGGAGCGATCTGGAAGGACTGCGACGCGTACGACCCCTTCTTGGAGCCGGAGCCCTGCACCTGCACCTCGAATACGTCAATCTCCGGCGCACTGCGTGCGACAGACGTGGACGGGCCCGGATGGCCCTGCCCCTTACAAGTGCCCTTCGGGAAGCGCATCCCCGGGAGAGACGACAGGCGGCCCTTGCCGTTGTCTGTCACATGCAGCGCCGCCTCTGGCCCACTGCCGTCGAGGAACGTCTGGTTCGGGAGGACGCCGACGTCGGACTCCGAGTATACATAGGGCCACATACCCTCCGTCGACGCCAGGTAGCCCGGACGCGCGAGGTTGCCGAGCGTCCAGAATCCGGGCCAGTACCCCTGTGTGGCGGGGCCACCCGGCAGGACGGCGGCCGCCTCGATGTAGCCGCCCTGGAAGCAGAACTTGTTCCACGACTGGAGCATGCCGGAGCGGAAGTTGAGGTCGTGTTCTGGCACATTGTCGAGCGTGATAACAAGCTTGCCGCCCTCCGTGCGCACGGCCTCTGTCGCGTTAGTCGGGCATCCGCTCGGCGCGCGCACCTGGTGTGTACCACTCATAGTCGTTCGTGGCCTTGTACCAGATGTCGACCGCCTCCCAGTACGGGTCGTCGCCGGGCCAGAAGGTGCGTCCGTCCTGCTCGAACTCGTCGCTGAAGACGAGGTCCCACTTGCTCTGGTCCAGCGGGTTCGTGCGCATCTTGTCGCTGTCCTGCGTGTCGGGGTCGACGAGTGGGCGCGCGGGCATCTGGGGGATGTCCATGTGGACCTGCCCTTTGCGGTTCGGGTCCACACGGCCCATGAGGTGGTCAATGTTCG